ATCATGATAGATATATCCAAGAAGTCAATGGCCCTGCCACCCATTTCATAAGTTAGTTTAAGATTGATGTCATTATTGTTCAGGACATAGACAAATTCCTTAAAAAGTTCGGTGGTACTGTCCAAACTATCACTATAACATCGATATAGCGTTTCCAAATACTGACATGTTTGGTATATTTAGCCAGTTGGGTACCAAATACAGTTGTCTTCTCCCACCACCCCAGGTGGAGGTTGGCATATGAGGGGGCACAAGCCGTCCCCATAGCCGTCCCTCTCACCTGGTGGTAGTATTTGCCCCGAAAGATAAAGTAATTGTGTGTTAAAATAAATCTCATTAGGTCTTGTACAAATTGATTATGCCTCTTTGAAGTGGTCAAGTTGTTATCAAGGTGGGCTTTAAGATGTGTCAACCCTATTTCATGTGGAATAGAATTATAAAGGCCCTCCACATCCAGGCTACACAAGATCACATTTTTAGGGAGGTTTATTCCATCGAAAACCTTCAGGGTATGTTTGGTATCCCTGAAATATGATGGTAGATTGATAACAGTCTTAAGTATAATCTGGTCTACATATAAACTCACATTCTGAGTTAGGTTTAGGTTGCCACAAACGATAGGTCTACCACTCATTATTGGCTGTTGTTTATGTACCTTGGGTAAAGAGTAAAAGGTTGCAATCACTGGATTTTTTATGTACATAATGGAATATTTATCTTTAGAAATGAGTGACAGGGACAGTGCCTCATCTAGTATAGTCTTTAGTTCAGATAGATATCTTTTGGTGGGATCATTACTCAGTATCTCATAGGTATCTTTATCTTGGAGTATCCTATGTGTCATGGATACATAGTCATTTCTATCAAGAATGACTAGGTTTCCACCTTTATCAAAGGGTTTAAGAATTATTTCTTCCATTCCTTGTAGATGCTTTTTTATCTAAATTCTCTATCTCATTACATGTCAATTTCACAAAGTGGTCAATGTACTTAAATTCAGCCAAATATGGAGTAAAAGTACTTTTCTTTTTTAATTGTGTAAAAGGAGCTTGTGAATTTGTTTGTATTCCGTTACTTGATAAGAGATCAACCAATGTATCTAACAGGTCTACATCAGACGGTTGTAGTCCCAAGTTTTTAGCTCTTTTTTCATCTTTTATGCGATGAAATTTATGCAAAACAAATTTTCTTGCAAAGAGGTGGATATCCTTTGTCCAGTTGAATTTATCAAACTCAGGCACTGGAACAAAGGACAAACCACGTTTTAGTACTTGGGTTTCAGATTCGGAGAGTTTGTATGTTGAGAGGTTGACGATCTGATTGGAATCTAATACCTTCTCCTTTGAAATGTATGTGGGGTCGGGATCGACTCCGTGTCTGGGGGACCATGTTGGTCTCCATGCTCGTGTGTCCTTAAAAAGACACTCCTCTTTTTAGGATGCTTTTGGAATTGCATTCTCTAGTCTGTGTATTCTCTCCTTTTGTTTTGTCAGATTCAGAGTCACTTGTTTCATACTCAGACGTAGAGATAGGGTCGGAAAAACTTTTCCTAGTTCTCCTATTCCACCTATAGACGTTCCCGCTTTTAAAGTAACCACTGTCTCTAATATATTTGGAATGTTTTCATATTTTTATATTATGTTGGTATTCCTCCAAATTACTCTTGAGCTTGTTTTCAAATGGCTCAAAGTTAGGTTCTTGTTTAAATTTTCCAATTGGATCAACCGCCTTATTTACTTTCTCCAGTCTTTTAGACTAGTATTTACATAGAATTTCCATAAATTTCTTGGAACAGTTCCCAGCTGCTTCCTCCCTTTCTACTGGTTCTCTTAGGAGGCAGCATCCTATACTATTATGTGCTTATCTAAGTGATTATTGGATACGCTGCCCCAATCAGCATCTTTAAGACCTTATATAGTTTGGGATTATTGTATTACACTAAGTGCATTTGCACATTAAAGGCTAGATTGTGGTGGTAGTTCAATTTACTTTTTTGCTCCCTGTCTGATATACTAGATATAATAGCGTTAATACTGCAGTAGCATATTGAGCCAGTTTAATTAAAGCTCACAGTAGCTGTCTGCAGTCTTTTTGATTATAATAGTGACATATGTATATCATCCAGAGTTTATGCTCTTTTTATCTACTTTTGTAATTTTCTGTATATAGGGATATTTTGACCTTTTGTACATAATGTATATAATAGACTTTTCCTAGACTACAGTATCTTTCCAGGTATACACAGCTCGCTACATTTGTCTTTTGACATTTGTATATAGCGTTCTGTGTTCTCTTTTTGTTTCTTCCACTTAGTGCTTTGGGGTTAAGCCCCTGGAGACCTGGAGTCTCCTCTTGGTACTGCGGGCTTTTTTTCTACTGGAACACCAACTTTGTTGGTTGATGTACAGCTGAGATTAACCATCCATATATATATCTATTCTTGTATTTGACACAGCTTTACCCTGACTATTCTGTTTTCTGATTCCCATGACCTAACTTTATCTCTCGTATATTCGATTTCTGGCTTCCCTTGAGCTCTTGACTTGCTTTGACTTTCCTATCTGGTATGCTGTTATGCTTGTTCGGCCCTGTCGCTTTAAGGACCAGTATACATGCCCATTTTACTCTGTCCCTCTCTTGTGAGTTCATATACTGTGTATTGGTTTATATATTACCATCACACTCGCTCATGCACTCATCATTTACCAACTTGCTTATCGCAACTCACCTGCACCTTCAAAATACTTGCATTGCCAACTTTTAGTCTGCAATGAATGTTGCTGCCAGGCTTATATTCCTGACTGACTAATACTCCCACACCTCACCTTTTCACCGATCATTACATTATCTTCCTGTATCCTTCAGGATCCAATTCAAGCGGCTAACATTTTGCTGTAAAGCCCTCATTAATTCCATTCATAGTTACATAGTTACATAGTAACTATGAAAGGAATTAATTCCTCTCTATATATCCCCTTCACTCAACAAATACACCCCTTCTTGTTCCTTCTGTGAGTGACCATTTTTTGACATCTGCTCATCCCTGCATTGCCAACTCTCAACTGTATGATTTTTCAGGGCTGCCCCATTCTTATGGAATTCCCTAAACTTTGTCATCAGACCTCCCCCTATCCTCCAGTCTATCAAGAAGCCACTAAAAGTATTCCTCTTTAGCAAATCCTTCCATCTTCCTGGGTGATGATTCTCTCATTACAATTGTCCTCCTCAGTTCCATCATCTTCGTAGCCCTGCTCACTCCCCCTCCTTCCATTGTACAATACTTTCACACACCTTTTTGACTAGTTTATGTTGACACAGGCAGGGAAATGTTGGCTTTATATGCATAATAATAATGTATGACTTATTTTGGGATTAAGCATACATATTTAATACATTTAACACTTTTTGATATTTTTGTTTCTTGTCAAATTTGATTATATTAAGTAGAATGGTGTTACCATAGAAAATGTGAATGATAATTGTGATTAGATCTGAAATATGTTATGACACATGAAAGAGCTTATATACCAAACAGCTCATTTGTATCAGAGCATTATATATTATTTACATGACAAAACATACATTCCACAGGCTTTTTGCATTTATTTATTCTCATTATTGGCACAAATATATTTACAAAAGGGACTAACAAACAGAAAGTGTGTTTATTTCTATGTGCTTTTATTTTTACATAGCTGTGGCATATATGAAGTTCCTTACAATAGAAATATAGAATAGATCCTAATATAATATAAAATCATTACAAAATAAGGAACTGTCATAATACAAGGAATACATGGAATCCCTACTACAAAGAGCTTACAATCTAAGACACAGTGGAAACCAATATAAACCAAAAAAAAATATCAGAATAAAAAAATGAATGTTTTCTGTGTTTCTAAAAATGAATCTACTGTAAGCCAATTGTTCTTTCTGTTTAATTTTCAAACCAGGTCAATTATAGTGACTGCATGTTGATTTGGAATGGTCCAGAATAAAAAATAAAGATGAAATTAAAAAAAAGTCTTAAATGTATTTTGTGCATTAGCAGATTATTATATTTTGGCAAACTGTTATTTATACTGCACTAACTTGCAAAATAGCTCAAGTGGTTAAAATCTACAATCAGGCTGCATTTTAGACTAATGTCCACTAGACTAAGACTTAGACTAATGTTTCTCTTGGCCTAAATTTTGTGAGCCTACTGTAAAATCACATCTCACTATTTAGCAAAATATGATACAATAGTAAATGTTTGTAGAAAAAGAAGACATGCAGTAGAATAAGTCATTTTAGTAATGTTGACACACGGAGTGAAGGCATTCTGTGCATTCAAACATTCTGTGAATAAAGACTAATGTAAGACGGAGAAATATTTTCCTTTTAAATAAGAGTTAAAAAGAACATCTGTGCCGATTTTAGAAAGACCATTATCATTTCTGTGTTGAATGAATAGATGGAACGTGCATCAATGATAACATCTTAGAGGTATATATAAAAACATTAAATAAATGTTGTAAAGAAATATTTTTTAAAACGTTAATAAATAATAAGGGTATAATAACATCAGTAAATATTCAATGTATATAATTATGTGCTTCTTTCAACTCTTACAGCTAATGTAGTAAATGACTGGAGCTGCCCCTTAAGGACTGGTCTTTACTATTATTGGTTGATTAATTATTTTGTGTATTTTGTCTGCATTATATACTTTGACCTTATTGTTTGCGTTGATTACTAAGCAAGCTGAGTGGAGATTTTTGCCTTATTTGCTATTTTTTGGCTAAATTTTTCATAATGATTTTCTAGTTACCGCAGCTTACTTTTTAATGAAAACACCATCTAATAGACAGCAAATACAGATTTATTGGGTGTAAAAATTATTTCAGGCTTAATTTAAATAAAATAAGTTTTATTGTGTGCTAAACATCAGTTCAAATTAAAAGATTGCTTATCCATATAAACCAGGTACCAACGTATAAAGGAGTCATTTCAAATCCCTAGACCACACCAACTGAAAAGTCTTAGAGTGCTGAGTATATATGTGGGATTGGACACTAAACTCGGAATAGTAGCTAATAAAAATGGCTATTTTTGACAATGTTTTGTGATTCAGATTTGAATTCACTACAATTCCAAGTTTAGTAAATAAAACATGTTATGATTCAGACTCAAAAGGAATGTGCCAGATAAAAACCTAATTCTAGTGGATTCATTGTAAAACTATTTATCATTGAAAAAAATGGACCCTCCATAACAAAAAAATACATTAGTTAGTAACTCATAATTAATAAATAAATAAATAAATAAAGGTCACAAAGCATAGATGAACACATCGCTGAATCCCAGTAATCTGGTTCTCCAACATATTTTCTTAATATTCCGCTATGGTTTCTGGATGGTGTTAAGGATATTAGGTTTTCAATGATACCTAACTGGGTTCCTGGCACTGTACCTTTAATACTAGCTATGATTAGAAGCTGTTATGAAAAGATGATGAAAGGTTTCACATATAGAAAATGAATACAGAAAGGCAAAGGCACACAATTCACATCTGACTCCCAAAATCCTTAAGTGCACTGCAATTACATGCTTACTGTGGAAAGCTTTAAGATATAAGGGCTGCTGGGATGCGTAAATAGATGTGTTAAAAGTTGTAATGGTTTCATAATCCACAAATAAAAAAAAAAATATAAACGATTTTCAGACTAACAATGCTCTGGAAGTTAGTCACAAAATAGTTAATTGTGGTGGCTTATTGACAACTAGGAGCAATTCCAAGGAATATTTTTGACTATGTGAAAAGTAAATGTGATTGGTTGCTTTATATCAGTGGGAGGGGCCTAAATTGGTTTAGTCAGCCATGTTCCCATGCAGTGCTGTTTCCTCTATCTGGCTAATTTATATTTCCCCCTCTTGCTCTGTTGTATTGAATGTGTATTGCACTCTTTTTTTGCTTTCATTTGCAGCATGGGGATGGTAAGTATTGGTCAGTCAGGGAAGTTATTGAAAAATGTAGAATGTTTGGAATGCTAATCAATCCTTACTCATCAACCTTTAAACTCTAGAACTCTATGGTGTATAAGAAAAAAAAAATATTTCTAAGCTATCTGATGTGGAACATTAAGCCAAATTCATGATAAAGGAATGATAATATTAACTGTTAAGGTAGCACAGTGGTTCCCAAACTTTTAAGGTTCAAAGCGCCCTTTATATTTCAATATTTTTCCAAGGCATCCCAAGTCAAAACAATTTACTAGGTTGTATATATTCACAGAGCTGCGGCATATACTGGGCCCCTAAGCTGGGGAGTGGCACTGGTAGATTATTTAAAGAAACAATGCAGGCACAATAACCACTACATTACGGTGTAGTGGCTATGGTACAAGTAGTGCCATATTGCCTCCCAGGTAAGTAGTCAAACTCTTTCAGAACAGTTTGACAACTTACCTGGGGTCTGCCAGAATAGGGGCTGTAGTGTGTGTGTGTGTGTGTGTGAGGTGTGCAAAATGTGTGTGTGAGGATTGCAGTGTGCATGTGTGGGTGTGTGTGAGCAGGGTGTGTATGCATGTGTGTGTACAGGGGTGCAGTGTGTGTGTGTGTGTGTGAGAGGGGTGCAGTTTGTGTATAGGGGTGCATTGTGTTTGTGAAGGATGTAGTTTGTATGTGTGTGTATGAGGGGTGCAGTGTGTGTGGGGGGTGCAGTGTGTGGGAGTGGTACAGTGTGTGTGTGTATGGGGCAGTGTGTCTGTGTGGGGGCAGTGTGTGTGTATGGGGGGTAATTGTGTGTATGGGGGTAATTATGTACATGGGGTAGTGTGTGTGTATGGGGAATAGTGTGTGTGTATATGGGGGTAGTGTGTGTATGGGGGGGCAGTGTGTGTGTATGGGGGGAGTTATTGTGTGGTGTGGGGTCTGTGGGGGTAGGAGGGCAAATTAATAAATATATACTTTATTATTATTCACTTACCTTTGCCTGGGAGGGGGGACATTTCCTGCAATCCCTGGTGGTCCGGTGGGGAAGCCCTGGTGGAGAGAGTGAACTTTAGCAGCCTCAGACTCACCTTTTTTCAAGACATCACAAGGAACACGCTGCAGTGGAGAAAGTCACTGAGCACCGTAACCACACAACTCCAACAAGCAAAAGTGGACTGTCGTTGGCTGATGCCAAGAACCCTAGCGGTGACCCACCAGGACACTACCCTAAACCTCACCTCCATCTCAGAAGCTGCAGCTTTTTTGTGGGATCTGGGACTCTCGCCAGATACTGGAGCTCAAGAGACACCTACCACCTCCACAGCCCATATACGGGACCCAGAGAGAACGGTCCCATTTACTCCCAGAGGCGGCTACAAGAAAACAGCGGTGACCTGAGCAGCAATGATGTAGAGCCACTGGGCTCAATTGTTATTACTAATAACATCATATCTAATGCATATATGTCAGCCAATGTTATGATTATTACGTTTTGTTCTTCTGCTTTGTTCTGCTGCTTTCGTTATTATTTCGTTAGCCTTTAAGTTGAAAGGGACCCACATATTATGCCTTACTAAATTTATGAGAGCAGTTCAGCAATTCTCAGTTATACGTAATTCGTATAGGGCTAGAAACCTCTACGCATGACCCTGTCAGGTTGGGGTTTGACTCTCGACTTTACCCAGTTATGATGGAGCTAGACTACTATTACCACCTCCGCCTCCAGGTTTGGGTGCAGTACAATTAATGATCATGGTATGCTTACTCGCTACCACAAAGTAAACCCAGATAACAACACCATATGGCCTACCCACAGAATAGAAAGAAGTGCCTTTAAAATAAATGGTACAGGATGTTACTGTTTTCCAATATGTGACTGGAATGTGTACTCTGGTTATGTTTCACTTCATGTTTGAATTTCCACATTATGACATGCATAGCCTGTAAACTATCACCTGCACTACCAAAAAAAATAATTAAAAAAAAATATATAAGACTCGATTTTTCAAGTCAGTTGTCCACTCCCAACAACTCACATTTTAGTGAATACCCTAAAAAAATGAAGACACATCATCATTAATGTCCCAACTGTTCCTTGTATTTTTAATGATTTTTAATTTCTATTTAAATCTTACACATATTACATTAATAATGATGAATGTGAATAACCTTGTTCCGTAGTTTGAGTACACAAAGGTAGATAAAGAGACGTAGTCAGCATCGAGCAAAACAGATTGTTGAAATTATTTATTCTTAATAGAATATTTTATTATTTTTTTGTAAGTAGGCACTGAATGTAAAATACATATAAGAAATAACATTGAAAAAAAACGAACAAAAAATAACTGTAAAGAGATAATATTTACAGCAAATGTGTTTGTGTAATTAAGGTGTACTATAAAATAAATAATAGTTTTACATATATACTTATCGTAGGTTTCCATCATGTTCTAGACGTTAAATTCATATGGTTAGTACTATACAAGTCACAAGAAGATGAATGCAGGAAAACTGGTAATGGAGCAATTCAATGTCTAAAAAATTTTTTATACAATTTAGTAAAAGAGGTGAACATACAAAAAATTATATATTAGCCAACTGGTTGAGGACTATATTTTATGATGCTTAAATTCATAATTGAGTCTGCAAATCATAAACTGATAAACTAACTTAAATATAATTTGAGGGGTCTTAGTAAATAAATACATAAGTAAACAAATGAATAAATAAAAATGCTCTAATAGTTGAGTAAATACTGGCTTGCATATCTGTATTATTATTTTTTTACCAGTAAGAAATAGCCACTGTCATCAGAACTGTCAACAAAGCACAGTTGTAATATTGTAGCATGTAAAATTTTATTACTTCTGCAACACTATGAAATTTAATAGCTCACGTTGTTTTATCACACCTATCATATGTTTCATATGTTCCAATTAATTAGAAAAAGAACATCAAGAAATTGTCTTTATTAACTGCCCCCATTCTCTCCATGTTATACTAACAATACATTGACTTAGCAGATAACTTGGTTGTGTCAGCTCTTTTTATTAATTCGTTTTCCCAAGTTAGACACTTTTATCTTAGTCATACCAAACCCAGTCGTGCTTTTTTTATACAATTTTGCTATGAATAGTCATTGAAAAAAAGCAATTTTCTTTCGTATTTATAATAAATACAAGAGTTCTGGCTTGGAAAATCATCTTGCTGTCAATCCGAAAAAACAGCAATGGCTAAAAAAAAAGAGCAGTCAGATTTAATCAAAAACCTTCCAATTGTAAAAAAAAAAAAAAAAAATCGATACAATTAAACCGGTTTATACAGTTACTGAAATTAACAAAAAGTTATTTTTCTAAAAGAATCCTTTTAAACCAGCAGAAAATAATTGTATCATTAGTATTTTACTACCTTTGAGCAAAACTGTGTTAATCAATTTGGGCATGTTTATTTAAAATTATCTATATTTAAAATGATTATTTATAATTTTGTTTAGTTTTTTTGTACTTTTTCTGCATAGGTAATGTAGAATAAGATGTATATTACACAGAACTGTGGGAAGTGAATGCCAAACAGAAATGACTATAAATACCCACAAGTGCACCTGTTAATATTTTGGCAAAGCCCTTCAATGATAGAAATTTATGAGTTTGTGAACACAGAATTTCTGATTTATCAGCTACAACGGCTGTCACAATGCCGACACAACCTCAAGACATCCAGAAAAAGTGAGGGTAGAATGATTGTTCAGCTACTAGAGGTATTCTAGGCATTTAAATCAGTTGATCCTACGTGAACTGTGAATTTATCCTGCCTATTAAACCAGGTCTTTAGGGAGTCCTACCAGTCTTATAGACATGCTCAATGGGCTGGTCTGAAGCTGGGTGAGGTAACGTGGTAGCAGCAGGAAAAGACTGAGCTCTTGAAACAGGCTGATGTTTCTCTAATCCTGCCATGCCAACTGTGTCCATCTGAGCCTGGAAGATTTGAAATGGGTTGATACGCTGGTTCACCAGGAACTGCTGTTGGCAAGAAAACAGCACAGTAGAAGGAAACATGAGAAGGGGATCAACTAAGACACAGAGGGAAACATGTCAACAAATTAAGTTCATTAGGTCAGGCCTGTTATAGACGGTGTAAAAAAAAATAATAAAGCTTAAGACTGAGTCAATGAATTCATTTAACAGATGTTTTTACATTGACACAGGAGAATCATTGCTATTGCTAAATAGTAGGTGATGGCAGGAAGCCGCTCAATT